TTTACCATTATCCAAATCTGTCAGCTGTTGAGCGGTTGCCCAACAGACAGTTCCCCCAATCTTTTTCCATGAGCCTAAACAGCCTGCACTCCGCCATCAGCTCCCGTGCGGACTGTCATCTCCCCAAAGCGACTCTTTGTCTTAACCTTTTCTTTGCGGTGTCCAGGATACCGCCAAGCTGTGACAAAACAGAAAAACAAAGCCAGACACCAAACAACCAACAGAGTGGGTGGGTGGGAAAGTCAGTATTTTGCTGTCCCTTGTCTCTGCTGACTGGTGAGTCTCCTCCCCCGGCCTCTTACCAAACTGACAACTTTGCAACATTGTATATTTTTATCATCCAGCCCCTTATTCATGTGCAGCAGTCATGCTCCCCCTTTCTAAGTTGTCCGGGGGGAAACTTTTGGTCTGTTCTACAGAACTTAACGCACTTTATGATGTCCTTGTAGCAAAGGTTCATTAGTTTTAAATGTGATCGTTTATAATGACTAATCATGTGACATTAGGATTCATGCTTTCCCTTTTCAGCAAACTGGAGAATATCATAAATGTAATAATTATTTTAAAATGAATTTCGAATGCAGCCTCTTCTAAATTATTTGTGTCTGCATCATGTAATTCATTTTTATGCCTTTTTACCCATCGAGCTCCTTCTGTTGGAAGCAAAGTGAATCCCAATTTGGCAAACATGATTTGAAAGGCTTACACTCTGTGAGGGGTGTAAACGTTATCCAAAAGAGGTGTGAATTTGGAATCTTGAGTCTGTGGATCTGATCCAATCTCAAAATTACACTAGGCACCAATGTAAATCCCAGTGGTATAAAGATAGCAGCCTGGTTCAGGAAAGAGCAGACCAGATGACAGGATGGAAACTATAAATAATATAAACAGAACAATAAATTATACCATGACTCTTTAAAGCAAATCTTTATCGGGTGCACCCAAGAGCACTATACTGTTTCTTGCAATCAATGTCTATGTTTTTTCTGACTAATTGTTAGGATCGGCTGAAGCAGAGTTTTGCTCTCACGTAAAGGAAGTGATACGCTCCCTAAATCTTGCTTTAGGGTGTTTCACCTTAGACGACCTGTGGAATGGACGATAAAACAAACAAATAAGACAATAAAAGAGGACTTGCTAGGGTCACTGTGCAATTTTCTCTCTCTGCCTTTTTTACTTTAGTTTCTTGATGTTTCAGGATGTTAAACAAAATACAGACAAATATGAGCTTCCTACCTGCAATCTCTGTAGACTCATTGTTGGCCTGCAGGATTAAATAAACTCAGGATTGATGGAGCAAAGACATGATTAAGTAGTGAAAGAAGTTGTCATCGTGTGGGTGAACGCAACATACACGGAGAATTGCGTAGTGGAAACTTATTTAGGCTTGGAAGCAATAAATTATATAGGATTATTTCCAAGTATCTCAAAAGTAGTGTTTAATCTGTACACAGTTTTGACAATAAATACTAAATTTTTACTTCTTGGAAAAAAAAAATTGGAAAACAATAATCAAGAATGAGCCAATCGTTATTGATGTCCTGTGTAGGATTAGTTTATTTTGCTCTAAAATAGCTATCCACATAGGATTGACAACGACGGGATTAAAAAAACAACTTAAAAGATGTTGATGCACAGCTATGCGTGCAGAAAAAAATGCAGGAAAAATTGATTAAGTTTAGCGTATTTCAAAAAAGCCTGAAACCATTTATAACTGACTGTGATTGGGATCTTAAAAATTATTGGTTGTAAAGTATCACTCTGTGACTTTTAATTTTTAAACAAAATCAATCAGTTGTAATCCTTACTCTCTAACAGGGTTCTCCAAACTCTGGCCCTCCACATGCTTCTTAACTACGACTCCCATGTCTATTCAATTGAAAGAATCATGGGGGTTGTAGTTTAGCAACATCTGGAGGGCCAGAGTTTAAAGAACCCTGCTCTAAAAAGTAACAGTGAACCAGTTACAGTGAGGGAAAAAAGTATTTGATCCCCTGCTGATTTTGAATGTTAATGATCAGTCTATAATTTTAATGGTAGGTGTATTTTAACAGTGAGAGACAGAATAAGAAAATAAAAATCCAGAAAAACGCAGGTCAAAACAAATACCTACATGTTTGTTGTACCTTCATCCGCAGCTTTTATCCGCACATTTATTAAAGACTTCCTAGAGGGATATGCATTCTCCTATTCAAACTGACTGGTTAGTTTAAATTCCTTTTTTTTTTTTTAATTACAGGATTCAAAATTTTAATGTTGACACAAAAAATAAAATAAAATAAAAAAGATTACATTCTCCTGAAATCAATGTGTCCATGGCACACTGGTTGAAAATTACTTTTCTATCATATCTCCACTTATATGCCCATTTCTGAATTAAACAGATGCCTTTTTTTCTAGCATTTCCTAATAATAAATAAATCTTCCATTACCCTTCTTGATTTTGCAGCCATATCTACATTTTTATAGATCCATGACATCCTTCTTTAAAACTGGTGAACACAATGGTAACACAAATCTGCCCCCTCATTTTGAAACAGCATTAATTGTATTGAAAACAACATTAGTTAAATCTGGCAAAACAATATTAACTAAACATTCTAGCGCCAAACATCCTTTCATCTAACCAGCACCTCCACCTATATATCAGCAACTTTATTTCTTGGGGTGCCCTGTGGTCTCCCTTCTGTTTCAAATCTATCCAAGTGGTTAGCCAGCTAAAACTGCATGAATTCAGTGGCCTGAAATGAAAATGGATATTCTTTTAAATATATATATATTCTCATTTAAAAATAATAATTACCTAATCTTTTTTTATATATATCTATGAACAATGGACTTAGCATCTAGTAAGTCACTACTATTTTTATTGCTTTATTTGCAATTATCCAACATTTTCTATCCAATGGCACCTTTAGAAAAGCCAATGCAGCGACATGCTGGTATTAATCAAACGTTTGAGATTCTGAAAGGTGTATAGAAAATTGGTCCAATAGTGAAATGTATGAAACAGTTTTCAAACATTTCTTAAGGAAAAAATATGGGCTCTGCACGGATTGGAAATAATAAATAAGAGAAATCTCCAATTTTTCCGAGCCGTCTGATTCTGTTCTTCTACTCTGTTTCGGCAGCCGAGCTGACACTTTGAATCTTTAAAAGCAGTTCAGTGAAATAGATTTGTCAAAAATCCCAATTTTTTGCTTGCTTCGACAAGTCAGTTCGGAGGCCAAATTGTGAGAAAATTGCTCATCTCAATCACCTTAGAGCTGGTCGGAATGCTTTTTTGCCCAGTGGCATTTTGTTAAGTAATCGAAAGGAATTTTGTTCATTGGCAACTGTGTTTATTAAAAGCACTGTGCATTTCACTTGAACTTGGCAAGACCTTTCAGCTGAATGTAGAGATAGGGACCTAGCAGCGCAGTACACCTTCTGCGACATTTTGACTTTCAGCTGAACCTTCATATGAACTTTTCAGGAAAGCTGAGTTTCTGTATTTGTCTTTGATACACTTTTGTTATCTTATATTATTTTAATCTATTCCATGTCACTATTTAAAGCAAAAAAATGGAGGGAACACACCTCCACTAGCACCGCAGATCATACCCAGGTCAGGACGATAGACAGGTGACAGAAAAATGGATGCCGTTGTAATGCGTATTAAAAAGTTATTCCAAGCACCATAACCACTTCAGTGATTTGAAGTGGTCTTGGTGATTGGAGTCCATATTTGCAGCTTTTTCAGTTTAAAATGCTGCACATAAAAAGTTAAAGCTCTTTGCTGCTCCGGAAGCGTCATTAGCCAGCCATAACAAGAGTTCTATCCTGTCTAATGTCAATTCTGTGCCCAAAATGCCTCTGTCGTCAGTACGCATAGAATGCTAGCAACAGACAGCCAATGCTGGGTTCTTCCTGCCGAAGTCCTCACTGAAAGTAAGTTTTCACCTTATTTCTTGATTGTTTTTAAACTTGTAGTAAGGGTTACTCTAACCAAAAAACTGTATTTTTATTAAAAACCATTTACGATCTCAGTCTCATTGTGGCTTCAGTCTATAAATATGATAGATATGTACATGTTGAACTATTCATTTCCTGATCATAATTTACCATTCAAGGCCAATAAACCCAAACACATGATATTAACATCTTACCTCAATAACTACATAGAAAATAGGAATTATCTATAGTGATATTTAAACGATTTAGCACTGGAACAGTCTGCAAAAGCCATGGACACGTATAATTGACTTTGTTTAACAATAATCAATCACGCCATCATCACTTGACACAAATGATTGACTTGTATCACAATGATCAATCATACCATCAACATTCTACAATTGTAGGTTAACTTTAATGAACACTCCACAATTAGCACAGGCAACATTGCCAAAACAACATCTATTATAGGGCTTCTTAAACTTTTATATTGTGGACTTTGCTGGCTTTCTGTTTTTGTTTATTTATTTATTTATATATTTTTACAAATTTACCTTCTTACACCCCGCTGGCTGTCAATCAAACAACTGGTCCTATTACTTCCTGGTAGTTTAGTTCAGTGGAACTAAGTGTAAGAGGCAGGCAATTGCTCTGAGCAAAGACTGGGTGGGGTTAGAAGAGGAGGGCTTCTAAAGACTACAGACAGAGATCTGTAACTTTTGCAAACTGTTTTTAATTGTGAGAAAAATGCACAATGAAATGCATGCTTGCTTCCATTGGGAGTATGTCTACTAAAAAGTGATTTTTTTTATTTTGGCAACAGTCTTTGTGCTTACCCACGCTCATATAATATTACAATAAATAGTAGCAGTCGCATGACTTTTAGAATGTGGCATGGCACACATAGCAAATGTGCAGTTCAACATTTCAGCCCTGCAGGTAATAATGACCCTGTAGGGGCAAAACATTGACCCTACAGGTACACATCACATTGACTGTGTGTGTGATGTCTGGAGTTTGACTCAATAAATACTTTTCTGGAAGTCCTGTGACTGCTACATTCTATAATATAGCAAAGGACGGCTTGCACTCACAGTCTTTTGGAGATAAAAAATATTCCTTTATTAGAAGTTTTTCCATAAAATCATCATCGTTTCAGCCGTTGTTTGGGGCTTTCCTCGGGATCAACCATCAAAGTTGATGATTTTATGCAATAACTTCTAATAAAGGAATATTTTTTCTCTCCAAAAGAACATGAGTGCAAGCCATCCTTTACTATATCATATTTTTGGCTATGGCTCATTGTGCACCCGGCACTTAAATATTTGGGTCAGTCTGCGTGCAAGGAGTTAAGTGTTTATATATATATATATATATATATATATATATATAAATTCATTTATAAAATATTGTACCAGGAAAGATACATTGAGATTTTTCTCGTTTTCAAGTATGTCCTGGGTCCACAAATCATTGCATTGTTACATTAGGGTACAATAAAATACAAAAACAATATTAATACACAATAAATACAAATTTTAACATAGAACAGGTAGGAAATATATAATCAACCATGACAGGTGCATTCTGTTTTGAGGTATGTAGAGAGGGATCTCTTAAAGGACTTTAGGCTTAGGGAAGATTTTAAATTGTGCGGGAGGTTGTTCCACAATTGCGGCGCTCTGTAGGAGAAGAAGGATCGGGTTGCTTTCTTTTTGTATTGAGGTAGACTAAGTAAAGTGTTGGTACTGGATCGGAGGTTATAGGAAGTGGGAACAGCTGGGGAAAGCATTTTGTTCAGGTAGGGTGGGAGTTTCCCAGAAAAGCTCTTAAACACAAGGCTGGAAAGATGAAGGGTGCGTCTGGATTCCAGCGACAGACAGTTTAGTTCTTTTAGCATGTCACAATGGTGGGTCCTGTAATTACATTGTAGCACAAATCGTTAGAACGAATTATACAATGTGCTGAGTTTATTAATGTGGGATTGCGATGCAGATGCATATACTGCATCCCCATAATCAATGATTGGCATCAGCATTTGCTGTACAATCCTTTCCTTTACTGTAGGGCTTAGGGATTTGTTTCTGTACAGGGCACCTAGTTTTGGATAAAGTTTAGATACAAGCTTTTCTATGTGCAGGCCAAAAGATAGATTGGCCTAACATCATACCCAAGTATTTGAAAGAGTTGACTGCGGTTAGTATGCCATTTGAATTTGTTTTGATTGGTAGGTGGGAATTGTGTAATTTGTGTAATTTAGGTACTGTTCCAAAGATCATTGTGACAGTTTTGTCAGTGTTCAGGAAAAGTTTGTTTTTTGCAATCCACTTTTCTACCTCTGTAAACTGGTCTTGGAGCACAGCCTCAAGCTGCGGTAGATTGGATTTGCTTGCATAGATCACTGTGTCATCTGCGTACATTTGAAGATTTGCAGACATTAGGCAGATCATTTATAAATAATGTAAATAGTAGGGGGCCTAGAATGGAACCTTGGGGAACACCACACGTGACTGGGAGAGGGAGGGAGTCGCTGTCAGAAATGGACACATATTGCGAAAAATCCGATACAGACGATCGAAACCAGGTTAGTGAACGATCACCAATACCGGAGTTTTTGAGTTTGTGCAGTAGAATGTCATGGTCTACTGTGTCAAAGGTCTTAGCAAAATCAAGGAAAATAGCTCCAGTTATGTCTCCTTGTTCCATGCCAGTTCGGATGTCATTGCAAACTTTTAAGAGGGCAGTTGTAGTGGAGTGATTCTGGCGAAAACCCGATTGATCAGGGGTTAGATAGTTTGATTGTTGGTAGTACTCACATAGTTGCGTATGGACACATTTTTCTAAGATTTTTGACAATACCGTGAGCAATGATATTGGGCGATAGTTAGAAACCAAAGTAGTGTCACCACTTTTATGGATAGGCAATACTCTCGCAGTCTTCCAAAGTTTGGGTATGTATCCAGACACCAAGGATTCATTAATTAGAGTTGCGACGGGTTTAGCAATTGCCGGCGCACTGAGCTTCAACATCATTGCTGGGATTTGATCAGGTCCGGACTGGTTTTTCATTTTTAGATTATTAAGATGTTTTTTAATGACACTAACAGGTACAGGTCTAAAAATGAATGTGTCTATATTGGGCCTTTGCAAATTTAGTGGGACCTGATCCACATTTGTAGTTTCAGGATGCGTATCATTTATTAGCTTGGCAATCAGGGCAGTAGAGCATCTGACAAAATAATTGTTAAAGGCATTTGCTACATCTAAGGGAAGTTGCAGGGTTTGGTTATCCACTTTGGAGGGTTGGGAGTGGATTGGGGGAGTTTGTAGTTTATTTATGACTTTCCAAAAGTTTCTGGCGTTTGAGATGTTATTGTTCAGATTTTCATAGAAATATTGTGCCTTGACCAATTTTGTCTGTCTTGTGCATATATTTTGCCATTGTCTGTATGCACAGTGGTCATTCATAGAGCCAGTACGCTTAAACTTTGACCACAAATATATATATATACAAATCAATGGGAGTTTTGCACTCCAGCTCTACTCTAAGTTATGGCCCGGTGCTCAGCTGCACATAAATATAACCTCCAATAAGAAAGCCAGCACTCAAGGACTTCAACGTGAAAAGATATAGGCATTTAATCCAAGTGGTCAACGTTTCAGTTCACAGTTGATGTGTCCTGCGGAAAGTTCACAACTGTGAACTGAAACGTTGACCACTTGGATTAAATGCCTATATCTTTTCACGTTGAAGTCCTTGAGTGCTGGCTTTCTTTTTGGAGGATATATATATATATAGTGTTACAGTTATAGATTATGCACTTTAAAAAGAAAATTGCATTTTTACCCACCTCTCACTGTTACCCAGCCCTGGGCAATCTCCCTGTTGTAGGCATTTTTCCTCTTATGAGATCATACATCCATTTATGGCAAACTGTAAGCACTGTCAAACAAAAGGGACAGGATCAACTTATTAAGAAAAAGTGGTTTTGGTGCTTAGACTGTTCTTTTAACATACACATTACACGTCATAATATCAGAAAATGTTCTAAGGACAAGATTATGATGACTGTATAGATCAACATTATTCCTTAAAAGTTAAATAAAAAATCTTGACCTTTATGAATTAAGGATTTATGAATTAAGAGTTTTGGTCTACAACAGCATAATTGTACTTTCATTACTTTCCATGCCCTATATTATTAACTGGTAGCGTATGAAATTGCTACTTTTGATGATTGTTGCAATTTTCCCTGTCAAAGATGCTACGAAATAAAACATATCAGTGTATTGTGAGATTACAGTAGCTGCTACAATGTGCATACCTATTAATTAAGGTGTAGATATATAGATTTATTCAGAGCAAAACACATTCCCAAAGGCTTAGTCCGGAAATAGGGATGGGCTCAAATATTCAGTTTCTTAGTGATATAAAGTATCAACACAAAAACAAATTAGACCTCAGACCAAATAAATCAGAAGTCTCTTCACTTGCCTGATGACAATAAATTCAGCTTCAGCTGCTAAAAGAGACTCTAAGCTGCCAGAGCTGATAACTGGTACTGCAAACATTCCAGGAAGCCTGGCCACTCCGAAACATAGCTCCTATTCACATTGTCTGTAACCTGAGAGCTGCTCTCAAGAGCTGGGATTAGAGGAAATATTTTGGCTGTACCTGCCTGCTCAAAAAAAGACTGCAAGGATAATTCAGCCATGTATCATTACATGTCATGCAAATTGAATGACACTAACTTTAATGTATTAGAACTTGAGAAAGTGCATATGTATACACATGTGTATGCACATATATATAACTATCTATAACTATAACTATATGCATATATATATATATATATATATATACACACACACACACACACACAATATATATGTGTGTGTATGTATCAATATATCTCTATCTAAAAAGGTTATGGTGGGAAAAAAATTGTGATTGAAAACCCCTTCCACACGCAGTCTGTGGATAGTTACTACAATGTTAAACAAAAATCTGCACACCAGTCAGGTCATAAGACTTGATTTTCCCACAGAAATCACAAATCTTCAGTGATGTTACTACCGTGAAGGATTCTGGGTGGGCATATGCAAATTAGTTTAACAAAGAATCAAATTTTTGCCTTATTCCATTTTAAACATGGATTCCTTTGAGTCTGTGTTTGCTGTATACATCTGCTTGGAACACAATTTAGGAAAAGATTCAAAACCAGTGAACCACTCATGGACAGCTGTTTCATTGTTGATGCAAATCATCAGCATGAGGTTGGTTACTGGTTTGCTTATTGAGACTTGGTAGTGCTTGGGAAGCAAAAACCAAAAAGGTTATGGTGGGGAAAAATTGTGATTGAAAACCTTTTTGGTTTTTCCTTCCCAAGCACTAGCAAGCCTCAATAAGCAAACCAGTAACCAACCTCATGCTGATGATTTGCATTAACAATGAAACAGCTGTCCATAAGTGGTTCATGAGTAGGACCTGCCAAAGATGGGGAACATTGACGTTGTGGCAGGCTTATGCAATGTATGATCATATAATGTAACTAAATAAGTTTTGTGAATTTAGCTGTATATTCTGTGGTGTGGTCCTTGTCCAGTTTTTTGTAGTAGTTTACATCGGACAACTGTTTGTTCCTTTCTATAATGTAGTCTAGGGTGTTCATGACAACTACTGATCCACCCTTGTCAGCCGGCTTAATGATGATCCCTCCTCTTCTCTAACTGCAGTTGTTTTAAGTGTTAAACTCTATCAGATTGATCAGTATTGCTTCAGACCGGAAAAAGAGAAGAGAGGACATCTCTCGAAAGCTTGTCTTTGAAATATTATGTTAGTCCAATAAAAAAGGTATCATTGCATAATGCAATACTCTGGTATTTTGGCATCTTGTCTCCTGGACTAATACAGCTAATCCAATATACACTATTGATGTACATATATACAGTATCTCACAAAAGTGAGTACACCCCTCACATTTTTTGTAAATATTTTATTATATCTTTTTATGTGACAACACTGAAGAAATGACACTCTGCTACAATGTAAAGTAGTAAGTGTACAGCCTGTATAACAGTGTACATTTGCTGTCCCCTCAAAATAACTCAACACACAGCCATTAATGTCTAAACCGTTGGTAAAAAAAAGCGAGTACTGTCACATGAAAAGATATAATAAAATATTTACAAAAATGTGAGGGGTGTACTTACTTTTGTGAGATACTGTATATATGGCCTTCCACGTCAATCCTTAGTAAATCGTGTACTCACAAGTGTTTTAATAT